TGATACATCATACGATCAACTCTTCTCGTGCCCTCCATGCAAGTAACAATAGTACACATTTGATGAAGCTTTTCAAGGTTAGGTCTTATAGCGAGCTTCCCTTTCTAAAAATCATCTCTGCCGTTACGTACCCCCTTGTGGTCTACCTCAAACCGTTGGGGGCTGTGACGATTTTCACCAAACATGCAAACCCCCACATCTGCAACCCCCTGCAGTTAATGTGAAAATAATTAATATTTTATTCCTACTGTTAGTGTTTAGAATAGAAATTTGGATGGATGCAGTTAAATTGAACTTAAATGATACTAGTGCACTAATTATATTTCAGTGGTATGGTTTCACCAAATTGAAAACTTAAGTCGGGTTTTTTTAATTTCACTTCCAATCATTTACCATTTAGTTCTTTAATTTTAATCGTTAATGTAAAGAAATTTATATTTCTAAGTTAAGTTATTCAAATCTTAATCGGTAACTTTTTTATTCATTGGAGGCACGAAGGCAAGAAGAGAGCTGCAAAGAGGTTTAGAAATATAAAATGAAGAACATGATAGACTCATAGACTCACTTGTCACTAGACAAGACTATACCAGTATAAAACATCTAAGATGGAAATCAAATAGTAGAAGCACTATAGACGATCCCAAAAAATAAATAGTCATTTTCTTCTAATTCTTTCTTTGCACTTGAGATACTTCCCGAAGACTTTGTTAGAGTAGCCAAAAGAGAGTGAAAATACCACATTGCTGGGAGAAGGAAAGTGCAAGTGGTTTTTAAGTTTACTTTCCATTTTATTTATTGAATAAAGTGGTTAGTGGGCTTTTGGGAAAAGTGTATGCTATTTAATTTGACATATTACATCACATGACGCGTTCGGAATTAAATTTTTTGATATTTAATTAATTTTTGGAATTGTTTTTTATTAATTAATTTCTAATAATTAATTAATTTTGAGTTTTGTGAAACAACGTAACCGTTGAGAAGGGAACTGACGTTTTCACACACTAAAAGAGACGTCTGGCCAGGAGATTGAGTTCCAACGTTCTTCTTCTTCTTCTTCCCATTTTCCTTATCAAGAACACAAACACAGAAGTACCCAGAAATTGCTGCTTTCTGACTTTGAGTTGAAGGGATACGTGGGGTAACTTGCCTAATTCCTACCAGCAATTTTGTAGTGGGGAAAATAACACTCTAAGGAGAGTGATACAATCACGCCTTCAATTTTTTTCTTCCCTACCGTTTCCTGACAGACTTGGCAATAAATTGGTCTTTAAGACCTTTCAAATCACGTAGGGTTATCGGAACTGATTGCTTTATACTTTTGCGACGCTTAATGATAGTCGTCCCTGTAATCTTAAGGGGTTTCTTATTTATGTTCAGCTAGATTCCTTGATTCTCTTCACTTTGGTGAGAGGCGATGCTAGCTTTCTTTGTTCTCTTGTTCAACAATGTGCCGACTATGCTTGCGGTTGAGCCTTTTGGAGTTTCAAGTGGTTGCACTTTCACGATATGGACCATAATACAATTTGATCCCTTTATAGTGTGAACTGGTGGGGGGAACCATGGACTATATAACCGTGAAGAGGAGCTCAGTATGTGATCTACCCCAACGTTCTTATTTGATGGAGAAGGCTCAGCGGACCCAACCTGGAAAGAAGGCCTAGTTGGCTTTATCGTTGAGTCAGCGTGATATGATCATCTAGTTTGATGTGAGGTCAACCAAATTTCCCAACAAAGTCTGAACTTCCTTGTGTTTAGGGGTGGGCATTGGTGCGGTCCAAACCGCTCCGCCCGCTCCAAATCGCTTGTGTGGTCAGTCCAAACCGCACCGTTAAGATTGCGGTTTCATTTGCGGTTTAATTATTAAGCGGTTCGTGGTTTTGCGGTACGAGCCGACCGAAACCGTGCGGTTGCGGTTCAAAACCGCAAACCGCTAAATCCCCTCAAATCACCGACTCTTCTCTCCTCGACTCCCTCTGCGCCGAAAACAGGGGACCCCCGGCGTCGCCGACGCCGACGCCACAGGCGTCCCTCCTTCCGATTCCGGCATCCTTCCTCCCTCCTCCGACCTCTTTTTTTTTTTTTTTCCTTTTTTGATACTTGAAACTAAATAATTTTTTTTGGGTTATTTTATGGGATTGGTGGGTACTAAGATGAACCGAGATTACATAATTTGAAGGTTTTTATGATGGTCTCTCTACGGAGTGATAATCTCGACCTTTGCCACGATCCAAACGATGGCTACAACTAGAATCGATGCATAAACATAAAACAAAGAAACTTTTTTTGGGTTTTTTTTTGGTGGGTTTAGTGAATTGTAGAGGAAAAAGTGAAGCTTACATACTTGGAAGGGTTTTTATAGAAGTTGAGCTAAGGCAGAGGAAGGACGAGAGCCAGAGTGGAACACAAAATTAGATCAATGGACTGAAATTGATGGATGATGAGGGAGAGAAGAGAACAGGATTCGCAGCTATCTCACAGAGCTGAAGAGACGGAAACAGGGGAGAAAGAAAGAACAAGTTGCAGGCTGTGGATTCGAATGCAGGTGGGTTGTACGAATTGTGGAAGGCGTTTACAGGGGAGAAATGATGCAGAGGTTTTTCAGGGCAGGGGCAGGGGAGGAAGGTTGCAGAGGAGAGGGGAAATTGAGGTATTAGAAAAACGCAAATCGATATAGGGATGCTGTGTTTTTGCGGTTTTATTTGCGGTTGCGGTCCAAACCGCACCAAATCGCTAACTACTGCGGATCGGTTGGACCGTCCCAATTAACTTGCGGTTTTATTTGCGGTGCGGTCCAATTACTTTGCGGTGCGATGCGGTTTTTATCAACACGGTGCGGTGCGGTGCGGGTCGCACCAATGCCCACCCCTACTTGTGTTAAAAGTTAACCTTTAGTGCGGGAAGTTGTACCCATACGATTGTAGTTTTGGGCAGGGTATCCGAAACACGAAATTTCGGAGTCCACTGTTGAACCACCAAATAGTGGTCAAAGATGACCCACGGTCCACTAGTAAGAGCTTTGAAATAGTCTTGATCATCGGACAGCTTCACAAGATAGCAGACATCATCCATATCCATGATTTCTATCAACGTTGTTGGCCACCATAGATCTCGGAGATGTGAACATAGAGTTGTAAAACAAATGCAGAGGTCCAGCAGGCGAACAACAAGATTCTTCTGCCAAAGAGAACAAAGTCTACTCTTAAAAACCTGCAGGCAGGTTTAGCGCTGGTTCCCAATTAAGCTGCCCAGACATAAGTTTATCTTCCTGTAACGGGGTCCATTGTTGAGGCACCGATTGAGATTACTGCCCCTATCAAGTCCTTGCCTCGGCATATGAAAGAGGTTACACATTGGAGGTGGTCAGGAAGGCATCAATGGATTTTTTTGACGTGGGGTTGTGCCATACACATATTTAAATCGAAAGTGAATTATGGTGAAAGCGTGGCAATCTATGCGGTGGTATATAAGAGATCCGAATGTTGGACTGCCTGCTTCTCGATCGTGATGTCATCATCAGCATCTGCGATTGGTTTGTATTTTCTTTTTGTTATGGCTGAATGGTCGGTGGGATTGGTTTTATAGAAACTGGCATGGTGCCCAATGATCGACTAGAGGGAGGGAGCACCGAAGCCGAGAATGAGTTAGCGGAGAGAGAGCGCTAGAGAGCATTTTCTTACCTCTAATCTTAATAAGTAAATATTTACTCAATCAAACATTAACAAGATGAAATGGTAGACACTGAATTAATTCTCCTAATGAAATTAACATGACTTTTTGCACATAAATGACTATAAATATAAGAATTCAATTTTGGCAGTGAGTAAATATGTCATTATCTATGTCTAAATCCAAAATGTAGGTGAGATATTAATGGATATGGTGTCAAATCAGACACATTTTGGCTACTACCAAAATTAATGACAGCCACTCGATGAAAATTTAATTTGATGGCTCGTTGACAAGGAGGGGTAAAATGGTTAAGAAAATATATTAAGAAACTCGGCCTTACCATAGCATCCCTCCCCCAATTCTCTCTTCTTTCTATTTTGGTGCAGTTTGGAAATAGCCTCGTTATGCCTAGAGCTTTTTAAACAGAATTAGATCCGAGTAACCCGTCTGTAATCACAATTGACTAAAAGGCAATGACTGTAACCTGCGTAACCTGTGACCAAATTGACCTGCAACCTGATCAACGCACAAGCCGACTGGCCCACAATCCCATTTACCCATACACGACTAATCCGAACCCACCCGATTGACATGCATAATTACTCTATTATATAATATATATACTCTTTTAAAATGAAGTATTTGGTTCTAAACCTAGGAAAAAACCCCATTTTTTAGTTCGCTAATTGAAGTTCAAAATCTAAGATTTACTTAAAATGATGCATTTTTAATAAAAGTATAAACTTGAAGTCACTTGAACATTAATTTTTTAATAGAGTTATAAAAAATAAATACAAAATATAAAATTAGCACAATAAAGGAGTGAGGCATTGTTGGTTCATTTAAATATTCAATAATGTTACCAACTAAATATAAAGGCAATATTCATTGTGTAGCCAAAACTTTCACGTTTGTGATAATAATAACCATTTTTGGCGAAATACTAAAAATGGCCAGAATTTTGAAAGTTTGATGAAAAATATAGCCATTTCCATTATAAAATTTAACAGTGTTAGAAACTCCGTCAGACAGACTAACGTTAGGCTGACTAGGATGCCACGTAGATAACACGTGTTATTTTAATATAAAATTAAAAATATAAAATAATTAATTTTTATTCTTCTGGCTTGATTCAGTTTCTCGTGATCTCGTCCCTCTTAATCACCTCTCTCATCATAAAGAAATAAAACAAGTAAATAAATAACACAATTAAAGAAATAACATAATTAAAGTCTCCCGTCTCTTTAATCTCCTCCCTCATCTTCTTCGATCCAAGCTTCTCCGTTGCCCTGGTGTGGCCCTCTCCACTCACATTTTCCGCATCCTCATCACTAGCTCCAGGTACGACGACTACAGACAGCAACGAAGGAGATTGGCAAGATCTCGAACAAGGAGTGTTGTCCTGGATCTCTCTTCTTCGACTCTCCCTCACCGTCATGCCCGACGGTGCGGCATCAATCGAGCTCCGTGGTGTCAATTAAACGCATCCGAGCCAAGATCCAAACAACCGCAAGAGGAAATCGGTGATAATCGGATTCTCCACCGCGGTATTCACGTTTATGGTGTCGTCGCTGCTACTCTTTTTCGCGATGACGATTAAGAGGAGGCGAAGGAGCGGGGACAAGTTGTCGTCCCCGGAGAAGTCTGTCGTTCTGCTCGCTGACGCCGTGTTGCAGATAGACCAACTGGAGAGCGAGCTGGAGGAGAGAGTGAGGAGGGCGCAAAGGTTTTGGGAAGACGAAGAGTGGGAGTTTGATGTTCTGTTGCGGGGAGGAGGGCGCAATCAATTTGCAGATCCCTAATCTCGAACTTTCGAGACCACTTCCTAAGCTCCGCCTCAGATCCAATTTCTAGAATTTTTGGATCTAGATTTGGGGGGAAAGAAGGGGAGAGACTGGAAGAGAGCCTAACAAAAGAGAGGATTTTTTCTCTAGGAACGAGAAGGGAATACAGAATAAAGACTCAAAATACCCTTTTTCAAATTTTTAATTTTTAATCTTTTTAGTTAGTCCACGTGGATTTGTTACCAAATAGAGAGTGTCCAGCCTAGTACAGCTCAGCCCGTTACTTGACAGCGTCAAAGAATTGGAATGAATTGACTATTTTTGGTATTTTTTTCAAAAGTTACTATATTTGGACAAACAGTCAAAATTTTGGCTACACTAGTGTATTTTACCAAATATATAGTAAAGTAATGTATTTGTTAATTTGATAATTGTTTGTGTCTAAGAGGTGCAGGAGTGAGGCACTAGGATATGAGGCCGCGAGTGAGGGTACGTGACTCGACTCTACTGTCACTCCAGGAATTGGCCAAGTGTAACCACTTCCTAAAGCGTAGTATAGCGGGTTTAGGTCTAATTATCAACCCGGGTCCTAGATATGATGACTACTCAGTGAGTTCTTGTTATCTAGCAATGAAACTGGAATGCAAGTCTAAACTACCAAACAAACAAAGCAAGTAAACTGGTTGTATTCAGGTTAAGAGAGGTCACCCGGATATGGTTCCCCCTAGACTGCAGTTAAGCCGGATTGTAATTACCAAGTTCAGTTTCTATGATAGTTATACTGCGGAAGGTTCTTAAACAGCCTGAAGTCTCGACTAAAGGTCTTCCGAACCTCTCAATCTGAGTCTCTAGCGTGCGACTAACCTCCACCGGAGTAAACATATTGAGGCCTTAACAAACAAAACTTCCACTACCGGAGTGAATCCGGTACAGAATAGTGAGTTGGCTCCTCGACTAAAGTCACCAAATCCCTACCTTCAATCAAGGATGCTCTATCAACCTAGGCAGATATTCTCATTCTAGGTCAAAGCAGAAACAACAGGAATTTGATCAGGATTCAAGTCATTCAATCATTCAAGCCTCAATCGAATATAATCAAATCATAGAATCAGTACTTGGGTTCATACAATCAAAGCCTAACATACAAATCTAGGGTTCTCCATACCCAGATGAATGGGAGAACTACTCCATGAAGAAGAAAGCAAAAGCAGAATCAGACATGGAATTCATACTGCGAAGGATGGATTCCTGCTTCTGGACGTTGATTGGCACTTCTCCAAGCTCAAACTGGCCTCCAATGGTGTTGAAGATCAATCTAGGGCACTTGGGAACTCTTGCTCGTCACTTTCTCTCTCTAGGAACTGATCTCTCTCTCAAAAACTCGAATCCTCTTGAGCTGTGGCTGAAAATCTGCTTAAAAGCATCAGTGGCCAAAGCACGATCGAGGGCACGGCCGTGCTTTGCCTGAGCCTGCCCGTGTTTCGGCCAGTGTTTAATTACACGGCCAGCAGCTGGTGGAAACACGGCCGTGCTTCGCGTTGGACACGGCCGTGCTTTGACTGAACACGGCCGTGCTTCGGTGCCCGTGTTTGCAGCTGAATTGGCCAAACTGAATTTGCTCTCGGCATAAAAAGCACGACCAGCAGTACACGGCCGTGTAATGCCTTGGGTCTGCCCGTGTTTTGGCTCCAGCTCACCGAAATGACTTCCGAATGCCCCGAAACTCGCGCTTAGCATTCCCTTTGACACCTGGGACCTGAAACATGACAAAATAGCACAACCCGGCGTAAAATAGGCCAAAACACACGACTATGCCCCTCAAACGGATAAGAACTAGGGGCGCAAACATGTGCAATTACATCGTTATCAAACTCCCCCACACTTAACCGTTTGCTTGTCCCCAAGCGAACCTAACTCAAACCAATGCAACTCTCCAGACCTCTATAGCAACAAACAATCCAGATCGTAGGTAGAGGACTTCCTAGACCATTTAGCAACTTACGAGGTCAACCGACGCACAAGTCATCTCAAAGCTTCTTATCGAGTCGGCATCATGGCAAACAGTGATCAGAGGACAAATGAATTGTGGATGAAAAGATTCTCAAAAACAAAAGATCATGGACTCACTTTTTTTTCAAGGTGCTCTATTTTCTTCTTGAAGATGGTTGGGACCCCTTTTTCTTTCTGTTTTGCTTGTTTTCTGTTATTTTTCTTTTCTTTTCTTTTCAAGAGTCCCAACCTGCTCTTACCGGCCATGCTAGGAGCGGATGTCTCGAGCCTCGTGCGGGGGAAAGACATGTAAGGGGGCTGGAGGTAGTAGATGGAAATTGGGAACAGATTCCCGTCTCCCCTTACACACTTTCGCCCTATTCGCACGGGAGACGTTATTTTGAAGCACATTTCTGAGCACCTGTTATTTTCAAAACATGATACAAGAGTCCACGACCGGTAGAGAATCCACAACACCACACAATTCAAGGGTCCTAAGATCACTAATTCACTCACTCAACCAACACAATATGAAGAAGAAATGAGACTTCTTAAATGCATCAACATCCTCCATAGTACTACACTACCTCCCTAGGTTGCATATTACTATAAAGACTGTCAATTCAAAGCATACTGAGCAGGCAATTGCATGGAAACACGTACTTGGCGCCCTCAAATTTAAAAATTTGGACAGTGGACTAGGCTCCAAGCACACAAACAGATCTAATGCAGTCAAAAGATAAACACCCCCCCACACTTACGCTCGACATTGCCCTCAATGGAGAAGAGGGAAGGATAAGGGAAAGATGTTACCGGTATGCACGGACTGCAGGGGACTGGAAGTGGACCAGTCGGGGCTAGCACAGCCAAAGGGAAACAGAAGAGCTCAACCACAATATGTTAGGTTCAATGGTCAGCCCAATAAAATATCATCCAAACCAAAAGAAAACAAACCAAACCCAAACCGGGTTACAATCCGACTCAAAACACAAGAAAGAAAATCAAACCATGGTGGGGTTGCCTCCCCACAAGCGCTTCTTTACTGTCTTTTAGCTGGACGCCCATGGTGGATACTCAGGGCGGTGCAGGAACAGGTGCCTCCAAGAGCGGATCCACGTCGCTCTTGAGGTACAGCTTCAGGTTGTGGCCTTGCACCCGACGGATGCGGCCACTATCATCAGTCAGCTCGACCTGCCCATCTGGCAAGATGCAGGCGAGCGAGTACCCAGACGGCCAGGGTGGTCGTGGTGCAGGAGGTGGGACCATCTCATAGTGGTCTCCACTCTTCTTCCGTGCAGGCTTAGCAACCTGCTGCTTCGGCCGCCACTCCTCCTTGAGCTTTTTGTTCGGAGGCAGGCTGGATGGAGTGGCGGCGAAGGAATGATAGGAGGGTCCTGCAAAATAGGAGGTGCAGAAGGGTACACGACAGACTCGAGTACCTGATCAGAAATGGCATGCACAGGCGTGACAGCAATCATAGCACAGTGATCAAACTCAGTCACAGCAAAAGTAGCATGTTCATTCCCAACACGCAAGATCAGTTTACCATCATGCACATCAATAAGTGCCTTGGCGGTGGCAAGAAATGGTCTACCTAGAATCAAAGGCACATCTACATCCTCATTTACATCTAGAATAACAAAATCAACAGGATATGTGAATGCACCTACATTAACAAGCAGATCCTCTATGACACCCCTAGGATGCACAATGGAACGATCAGCGAGCTGAATGCTCATCCTAGTAGGGCTAAGTTCACCTAAGTCTAGCTTCTTAAACAACTTATATGGAATGACGTTTATGCTAGCGCCTAGGTCCGCCAAGGACTTGCCTACATGCATGCTGCCAATAGTAAGAGGGATAGTAAAACTCCCTGGATCCTTGCGCTTCTCGGGCAGCTTGTTCTGCAGGATAGCAGAACACTCCTCGCTCAGCAACACTGTCGAGAGATCCCCAAGTTTCTTCTTGTTGGTGCAGAGATCTTTCATGAACTTGGCATACTTGGGCATCTTCGACAGTGCCTCCACGAACGGTATGCTGATGTTGAGCTGCTTCAACATTGCCATGAACTTGGCAAACTCAGTCTCCAGCTTGTCTTTGTGTAGGCGAGTGGGGAAGGGAAGCTGGGGTACATGCTCCTTAACCACTGGTTGTGGCTTGGGAGTAGGGGCTTCCTTCTCCACCCGCGCTTCTGCATCGTCGGCTGGAAGTGCTGAAGCAGGTAGTGGTTCCTCCTGTCTGGCCGGGACAGGATCAGCAGATATGGTCTTACCGCTCCTGGTAAAAATGGCATCCAGCTGCTGATGCTGGTGAGGATCCCGAGGATTCGGGATAGTGGTGGCAGGCAGAGTCCCCGGTGCCCTGGTGGTGTTTTGGCGGGCCAAGATGCCCACCTGGGTCTGCAGATCCTGCAAAATGGCACCCTGGTTCCGCTGACCTGCCTCCAGTGACGTGATAGCAGCCTGAGTGCTAGTCATGAATGAAGCTAGAATGTTTTCAAGCTTCGTCATCCTATCATCTGGGGCCGGAGCTGTTGCTGGCTCGGCAAACTGGCGCTGGGGCTGCTGGAATGGCTTCCCCTGCCTAGGCTGGTAGGGCTGCTGCTGTGGGTCTGGCCCCTGGCGAGCCTGGAAGGGCTGCCTCTGCTGAAAACCACCTGCTGGTGCTGGGAAACCAGGTGGTTTAGTGGTGTTGCTGCTCCAGGCGAAGTTGGGATGTTGGCGCCACCCGTCATTATATGTGTTACTGTATGGATCGAGGCGCCTTGCATTGGCGATGAAGGCCAACTGCTCCTGGGGTGTGGTAGACTCCCTCATAGCCTGGCAGTCCTCCACTAGGTGATTGGAGCTCTCACACCACTGACACTAAGCAACTGGAGGTGTAGCCAAACCTCTGCCTAGAATAAGACTGTTGGGTTGCTTCAATGTCTGCACTAGCTCAGCTACCTGCTGCTCGAGCCCGGATCTGGTCTCCATGGCGTGCACACCACGGTCCCTGGAATGTCTGCCTCGGCTGCTCTGCCCCCAGGAATGATCTCTGGCAGCCAAAGCACTGATCATCTGGTTCAGCTCGGGTGGAGTCTTGGTAAGAATATCCCCTCCTGGGCATAGAGACTCAATCACCCTCTGGCTATCTGGCGAAAGGGCACTGTAGAAGTTCCCCACTGTGAATGCATTACTGAAGCCATGATGGC